CCGCCTTCAACATAGAAAAAAAAGAGACAAAAAAAAAAAAAAAAAAGCAAAATATATATATATATAGGTTTACCCCAGCGCTAATAAAACATCCTGGTGAAAACCCTGGTGAGGAAGGTTATTTTTATCCTTTTAAAAAATCTAGCTCTACGGGGAAAATATTGACTAATGCTAAGGGTTAGCATTGCTAAATGAACTAACTACGAAACTGTAAAAATACTTTAAATGCTTTAGGCTGCCTTGGTTTGTTTCAAATAACCACAGTCCTCTTCAGCTGCAGAGCTGTGTGATGCTCACTTCTCTCACACACTGATTGAGGTCACCACTTGTCCCAAAGGGAATAATCCAGTATCTGCCATAATTCAAATAGAGAAATCACAACTCACAAAAAAAAATAAAGTGATAGTTCTAAAAAGTTTGCTCAAAAGAAACCAATATCTGAATAGGTTTTTTTCTCTTTAACCATAGGTATGTTTAGCCATTCAAAAGCGATAGGTTTCTGCAAACAGTTTTATAATATATAAGAAATCAATTACTGTATTAAACAGAAATTGATTTTCTGATCCACAGACAAATAACACCTGAAATCATCACCTGAACTTTAGGAACAGGAATAAAGAGGGTATCCCTGTGTTTCAGCTTAATCTCCAAGTCCATGAACTTCTGTTTGGTTGCATTGACCTGGAATTTGTCATTTGTGAAAAGCACCCCAGAGAAGCGACTGTAGCATTCTGGGGGCAAATCGGGTGTAGTTTTATAGGGCTGACGGCACCAATCAAACCTGGAACACAAAAAGAAATTTAAGAAATATTTAAAGTTTTCTGCAGTGGTCTGCATATGTAATTTTCTTTTTAAGCAAAAAAACCTTGAAAATGAACAAAGAGAAAAAAATAATAAAAGAGTGCAGCACAAAAATGTTCCAAAAGAAATGATAGATAGGAGCAAAGTAAAAAAAATGCTGCAGATGCCAAAATTATGGAGGGAAAAAATAGATGCATCTGGTCTAAAAAACAGAAGAGTGCAAGAAAACTAATGGGACTTGTTCACCAAGTCAGATGTCACCAGAACTATATCCAAAATTTTAACATTAAACCCTGAACATAGGTGGAGGGAGGAAAAGGTTTGCCACCATTTATGTCTATTTGAACAATGGCTGTTATCTTTTAAATAAGCACATTTAGACATTAGCCTGCTGGTCTTTTAGACAAGGATTATGTTTAGATCGTTTTTTACATGGGGACAAATTTTTTTGAGATATGGCAGAATAAAGGATTATTTTACAGCTAAAATTCTGGAACAGACTAAGTGTTGATAAAGCAGTGCAAAAGATGACGCCAAGTTGCTTGGGGTTCTTCTTTGTGTATTTTTAAAAGAAAAGTAGACATATTTTCTGCCTGGATTGCTTTTTTTTTTTAAGGGTGCAATGAAAGTTATATTTTTCCAAACCCTAAAAAATATATTAAACAATAAAACCCGATTGGTAATCAGACACAAATTCTATTTTGAGTCCATGCAGATGATGCTGTGGACAGATGCTAACATGAGCCTGACTTGCTTTCATTAGGCACATTTCTGTTCCAAAGGAGCGATTCTAACAATCAGGGACTAATCTGCAGGCAGCCACTAAGTGCTGCTGCTTGTGCAACATTTTACCTATTGTGTAAGAGTTCAGGAAACAACAGTAAATGAACAATAGCAGACCTCTAATGTTGCTAAGGCTACACCCACATGAACGTCTATACACACAAGCAAATTATTTGTGGCATGAAAAGAGGTTATAAAAGAGGTATACATGGTTTTAGGAAACTCTTAGAAGAATTGTAAGTGGAAACTATGAAGAAAATATATTAAATATATAAAATACTTCTTTAAGAAGCACAGCATTAAAATGAATGAACTGATACAGATATGAGGAAGAGAGAAAGAAAATGAGGAATAAAAGAAGGAAAAAGGGAGATGGTGTCGTGGGGAATTTTTTGCACAATTATATATTCTTACTTAGTAGCATAAATTATATGTTTTACCTAGTGACTTTAATTTTTTGTCTAAAGAAAATGATGTCTTTCAGGACAATGCAAACATTCTGTTGTCGCTTTAAAGATATATGATGTCAGATTTATTACTCTGGTCCCCGATTGGAGAAATCTCCTCAAGGTTGCATTCTTCTACCCTCCTCACATCTGTTTCTCATCAGCAAGGGTTATAAAGTAGCTCTTTACACATTCACTGACGATTTGCCTTTAAAAAATCTTTCTATAACAGTAGAAAATAAGTCTGACATGAAACATGTTTTCTATTTTCTTTGACCTATAGATTAAATTTCATAAGGAAAAACAAGAGGATTTCAGAAGAAATCAATTGCATGTTTTTAGTTAAAGAAATGCTAAATACTTTTTGGCGCACATCTGAAAACTCCTGCCTGAATTTTAAAATATAATGAGAAGAAAAAGTGTGACTCCATTTAAACACTTATTTACTCAGAAATTGTGGTGTAAGGGATGAGCCGTCCATTCCAGAAACACTCAAAGATGTCCCTCTTCCCTCTGGCCTGATTCATGACTGCAGCTTCATTCTCATCATTATCGTCCTCAGGAGGTGCTAATAACAAACACACACAGAGAAACATCAACTTTACACATAAAGAGCTTTTATTTTCAGAAAAAAAACTGTGAGATTTCTATACCTTGAATAATATTGGGATCTTTCGGGTAAGTCTCCTTGTCATAGAGAAAAGGATGATATCTTAGGACTCCGTCCACGATGCCGCCCTCTTGTGTGGTGGCCTTAAACTCAAACGTATCGACAGCTGAGTTTATGTACAGAGTCTGGATGTCATCATTCACGTTTCTGAGATTTACCCCAATTGGACTTTTAGAAGATTTATCTCGCAGAGTTACCTTAAAAATCATAAGAAAAACAATCCAGAATGTTACAAAATGTGATAGGCTGAAGGGTTTTCAAAAATAAAATCAAGTTATCAAAAAAATGGAAGAAGAGGCCATATTTTGCTTTGCATGAAAAACAAACACACTCTGTTAAAGTTGTAGTAGAGGATGTTCTTTTTCCGGGTGGATCATTAAAATAAGTGGTCCACCTGATTGTCAAACGTTCTGGTTATATGTTTATGTAAGGCCGTCCTACGTGCTTGTCCCCATTTTAACCTAACCCTATGCGGAGAAATACCCGACAGCCAAGAATTACTCCTTTTCATTCATGTTTCAATCAGTTTTCTTATCAGTGTGCAAGAATTTAGAGTGATGCACGCTCCTGTGACAAGGGAGGAACATTTTCAGCAGGCAGGTATTTCTTGGCATATGTCCACCAATACTCCCAATTTTAGGGAATCCATGCATAAGAAGTATGAAAATATTAAGAATATGTTTAAAAGTTCCAGTTTTTAATTCAGATTTCAATCTGTATTCTCATCAATGTTTAGGGCGATGCATGTTCCTGCCACAGGGGAGGAAATTCTCAGCAGGCAGGTATTTCAAATAGTGGAAAAATTGAAAATGTTTTGGAAAGTAAGCTTTTATGAGCGATGCAAACAGGAATTTTTAAACAAAGCTTGCACGAGGAGAAATGGGCTTGTACATTCTCTTGCACGGATTTAATAGGTGTTCTCTCCCAGGAGCAGGTGCAGGGTTGTGAATTTGCATTTAGTTTGTTTTAAAGTGGAGATTGCAGGTCTTTTAAAAAATCTGTGAAAATCCTTCGCTATACCTTTAATGTCCTTAATGGGCCCAACCAGATCCCACACTTAAATTCCTGTACTTTTTTTCTGTGGCAGCTCCATGACCTTCCATTGCTGATTACAGTCAACCCCTGAGTCTGATTTTAAAACTCTTCTCTTTGCCTTTGCTTTTAACACCACGTGAAATGCTGATCTTAGCCTGCAATGTTATTTTTATATTAGAGACATTTTTAGTATTATGTTTTGTCATATATTTTATTGTTTTAATTTAATGTGTGTGGGTTTGCTGTTGTTCAATGTACAGCACGCCGCTCCTTAGGAAATTTTAATTTCTAAATAAAAAAAAAAAATCTATTTCTAGTAATTCTACAAATTTACTTTTTAAAGGTATAGTTGATGATGTTCTGTTTTCCGGGTGAATCATCAAAATAAGCGGTGCTCCTAATTCTCAATCATTCTGGTTATATGTTTACGTAAGGCTGTCCTATGTGCTCGTCCCCATTTTCACTTAACAGTGGAGAGTCTGATATAGAGGAAAACTTGTAAATGTTCTTTTGGAAAGTAAGCTTCTATGAGCGATGCAAACAGCAACTTTTAAACAGAGCATGCATGAAGAGAAATGGGCTCATGCACGCTCTCGCAGGCGTTTAATAGGTGTTCCCTCTCTGGAGTGGCTAGAGGGTTGTGCATATGCATTTATTTTTTTTTTAAGTGGAGAGGTCAGGTCTTTTAAAAGAATTACCTAAATTCTCCAATATATCTTTAAATGTTTGGGGGAAAAAAAAACGTATTTAATCCATTTTCAATGTAAAAAAAAAATTTTTGATGTAAGAGAACGAGATTAAAGAGAACAGCAGTTACAGTCATTTCGCCAAAGAGACTCACCAGAATATTAATTGCTGGGCTGCCATTGGATCCTTGAGGCTTATTCTGAAGGTTTCCATCGACCCCATGAATGTAATAATGATAAAAGTGCCTGGAATTGTTTTTTTTTTATAGATAGAAGCACATATTAAAAAAAAAAAAAAAAAAAAAAAAAAAAAAAAAAAAAACAACAGCTCACTGTTCATCTTGACCCACATTTTGACATTTCAGACTTAATCTGGATTAGCGAACTTACGCTAGCTTTCTGGTCCACTCTTTAAAGTCCTGCTTTAGATATTTTATGTGCTCAGGGCAGATTGCTGTGATGACAACAGCAGTGAAGCTGTGCTTCCCAGTTTCCTCCCTGATGATGTCCTGAAGAAAGGCTTCGTTGCCTTTAATGTGTGAGAAGTCACCAGGCTGCCACAGAAGATTAAATTAAAAAGTTCATCCAGCTTATTCCCTCATCACAGCGACTTTTACCAAACACCTTCATTTAAAGCTCTCACCTTCCTGTTCAAGATGGTCCCTTTGTAAACATCTTCTTTGTTCTGCTCTTTTTTCTGGAATTCCTCCTTTGACAGGACCAACTCATGAACGTCTGGCGAGCTGATTGGTTTGCTGATCATCTGATATTTAAAGAAGGTTAAATATTACAGTAACTTTTTACAAATTAATAAACCATCAATTATAAAAAAAAACATATTAAACAGACAAAGCACGAAGCACACTGACATTAAATGAAGACTAATAAGATAAAACTAGAAGAAAGAGGAGTAAAATAACATTTATTCACAGTCAGCATCTCGTAAAGATTCACTGGTTACAGGCCAGAGAGTAAAAGTGTGTTTTTAACCTCAGAAAGTGAAGCTGGCTAACATTCTGTGGCAAATCAAATTACAGATTAAGAGCAGCAATGGCAAAGGCTCTACCACTATCCGAGTTTGCATTAAGTCTTGGAACAGATAAATGAACCCATCCTACTGATCTAAGGGAACAAGACGGTACATATTGCTAAAACACAGCCATAAATAAAACAAGCAATGAGCTAAACAATGGTTAAAACAAACAGATATTTTCTTCTTGTCTTTCTTTCTCCTATATATTTCTATTCTAAATTTCAGAAAGAATTAATTCTTCACTCCAAAGACGAAAGTTTGCACTAGTCGCTCACTCTGTCTGCATGCATAGGCTTTCAGATCATATTGTGGCACCCAGTTGGCTTATTGAATTTCATTTCTGTGTTTTAAACTTTTCTTTTACGCTATTTGTTGGTAAACATAAGCTTGTTGCAGACCATGTGATCGGAGGTACAATATTGCACATTCATGGAAGAAGTGAACAAGTAAGTGAGCCAAGCAACTCCCAGTGGAGGGGTAAAAAGAAGGTGGGAAAAGCCAAGAGCAAGTCTGATAGTAAGGGCAAAAAAATAGGGGATGCCAAGTAGGACATGACAGGAGCCGAAACCTGAGTAAATACGGCAAGCAGATGGTGACAGTCTACAACAAAATCTGCTGATTGTGTCCGTTTTTGGGCTGCAACTAACGATTATTTTAAAAATCGATGAATCGGACGATTATTTTTTCGATTAATCGGACAAAAAATATTTT